CAATTGGGAAGCCATTACAATAGTCCAGGCAAGAGGTGGTGAGAGAATGGTCTAAAATGGTGGTAATGTGAAAAAAGAGAAAGGGTCAGATACAAGACATCATTTGGAGGTAAGACATGGCAAGATTTTGCAACTAATTGGATACCTGGAGTGAGGAAGAGTGAGTTGAGGATAACACTGATGCTGCAGATTTACATAACTGGAAGAATGGTGATATTCTTGACAGAAATGGGGAAGTTTAAAGAAAGAGGCAGGTTTGGGGGGTGGGGCAGGAGATTAGGGAATAGGGAAGATGAGTAGTGTTTTGGATATATCAGTGTTAGATTTCCTACATGGTAACAAAACGAAAATCCAATGTCTAACAAATAACTAGTAATGCATGACTGGAATTTCAGAAACAGACTGGGGCTGGCTATATAGATCTGTGGACTATCTAAATAGAGATAATTTACCCATGTGAACTGATGAATTCACTAAGAGAGAATGTAGTATACTGTTCAGTTCTTTTGGATGTATGACTTCCTCTGCCTCCATTCACTAGCATCACAATAATCAGATGATAAGAGTTAAACCCTAGAGTTGGGGTTTAGCAAGGTCTAAGTGGTGAGAAGACAGTATGGAGTTGAACTTATTAAGTGTAAGGTTTGCAGACATTTGCTCAAGAGTTTAGATTTCTTGACCTTGAGTCATGTCATCTCTCCTCCCCTCCTCGACCTTCCAGTCATCTGGAAGTGTCTGCAGCCATAGATTGTGGAAACTAAGGCTTCTATTCACTCTAGCTTATTTCTAAGTATGTTAAGGGGCCAAATATCTTAGGCTGCTTTATCTGTTCCCTCACAGTGACCATTTCCCCCCCTTAGTTTTTAGATATCTTATGTAAGATGGAACAGAAAAAGGAGGGTTTTTTTCCTTTCACCAAAGCAGACTCTAGGGTCTGTTCTTTCAGGAACAGGCTTCTACATAATCAGTTCTGCTACAGTTCTACTACCTGTGTGACCTTGCAAAAATCACTCAACTTTTTTGGCTTTCTGTTTCTTCATTTGTAAAATGAATTGACTGGATAGACTGTTCCACTGAGTTTCTGATTCCTGCTATCCCTACAAGATGGCTCTGTAGTTTGGAGCACTATTCAGCAACTTTTAATGTTTTATGAAGATGCTAAATTTCTGTGGTGGTTTTCTGACTGGTTGCTGGTATTGTGTATAGTGACATGTAGAGTGATTTGACTGTGTTGTTGTTCAGTTGTTTCAGTCATGCCCTATTCTTTATGACCCCATTTGGGGTTTTCTTGACAAAGATACTGGAGCAGTTTGCCATTTCCTTCTCTAACTTATCTTACAGACAAGGAAACTGAGGCAAACAGGGTTAAGTGACTTGCCCAGGGTCACACTGGAAATTGCAGGGATGCTCATCAAAATGACTTAGTAACTCAAAGGTATTCTTAAAACAAGATTGCTGTTACTATATACAATGTTCTCTTGGTTTTGCTCACTTCACTCTTCACTATTTCATGCAAGTCTGTCCATGTTTTTCTAAGATCACTGAGCTCATCATTTCTTATAGCATAGCAGTATTCCATCACAATCATATACCATAACTCATTCAGCCATTCCCCAATTGATGTGCATCCCTGCAATTTCCAGTTCTTTGCCGCCACAAAGAGGGCTGCTTTGAATTTTAGAACATATAGGTTCTTTTCCTTTTTCCCTAAATGTATTTGGAAACAGACCTAATAGTGGTATTGCTGGGTGAAAGGGTATAGGTAGTTTAATAACTCTTTGGTCATAATTCCAGATTGCTCTCCAAAGTGGTTGAATCAGTTCACAATTCCACCAACAATGAATTAGTGTCCCAATTTTTCCACATCCCCTCAACATTTGTCACTTAAATCATTTCAGCCAATCTGATAGGTATAAAATGATATCTCAAGGTTGTTTTAATTTGCATTTCTGTAATCACTACAGGTTTAGATCATTTTTTTTATGACTATAACTTGTTTTGATCTTTTCACTGGAAAATTGCCTGTTCACATTCTTTAACCATTTACCAATTGGGGAATGACTTGTAGTCTTATAGATTTGACAAAGTTCTTTATATATTTTTGATATGAGACCTTTATCTAAGAAACTGTCTATAAAAGTATCCCCACAATTTTCTGCTTTCCATCTGATCTTGGCTACATTTATTTTATTTGTACAAAACCTTTTTAATTTATGTAATTACACTTAATTTTGCTTTCTATTTCTTGTTCATTTATAAAGTGTTCGCCTATCCTTAAGTCTGATAAGTAATATGTTCGTGTTCTTCTAATCTTCTTGTAATATCTCTCTTTATATCTAGGTCATGTATCCATCTTAACTTTATCTTAGTAAATGATATAAGATATTAGTCTCTGCCCAGTTTTTGCCATATTGCTTTCTGATTTTCCCAACAATTTTTACCAGATAATTAATTCTTATCCCAAAATCTTAAGTCTTTACACTTGTCAGATATAAGGTTATGTTTATTTGCCGCTTTAAGTTGTATATGTACTCTATTCCATTGATCTACCTTTTTATTTCTTAGCCAGTACCAGATAGTTTTGATAATTACTGCCTTATGATATAGTTTAAGACCTGTTACTGCTAAATCTCCTTCCTTTACATTTTTTTTTCATTATTTCCTTTGATATTCTTGACTTTTTGTTCCTCCAAATGAATTTTATTATTTTTTCTAATTCAATAAAAGAATTTTACTAATTTTACTAATTTTGTAACTATTGTTACAATTTTTTAAAAAAGTTTTATTGGTGATTTTATCACAGTTCTTCTCGATCTCCTCTCCCAACCTTACTGAATTCTTCATTCTAAGAAAAACAGTTAAGTAAAACCAAAATCAACAGACATAGTGACTGCATCAGATGGTGTGGGCCTACTCATTAGTCTCCCAAATCTCAGAGGAGGAGGTATGATTTACTTTGGGATCAAGATTGGTCACCATAATTACTTAAGAGTCCAGCTCTTCTTTACTGCTTTCATTTATGTTACTGAGTGAATGAATAGGGGAAAAAAAAGCATTTATTAGGCACTTCTTATGTGAAGCGCACTGAGGTAAGAAATAGAAAAGTAAGACAGTTCCTATTCTCGTGGAGCCCACATTCTAAAGGGGGAGACAACTATATGCAAAAGTTTGGCTACAGGGTAGACAGAAAGGTCCAGTGCTCAGAGGATTGATTATAGATTCAGATTTAGAAGGGATTTTAGAGGACATCTAGTCCAACCCCATTATTATACAGATGACAAACTGAAGCCAAGAGAGATGTTAAATAACTCACTTTGCATAGGGAATGTTTGAGGAGGGATTTGAACTCGGGTCTTCCTGACTCCAAGCGTAGCACTCTATCCACTATGCCCAGGCCTGAGAGGATAAGGCCTTATGATTCAAATACCAAGTAATATAATCTGGTTGGAGTATAGAGAGGAGATAAGGCAGATGCAAATACATCCTCTTGGATGTTATTTCAAGTGATAAAAACCACATCCATTTCTACTTAATACAGCCAAGTCACAGTGAGAACTCTCCTTCTGGATCTTTGGGAGTGTGGCTGGAGAAGAAGTAGCAGCTACAACAGAAGAGGCATAGCAACCAGGCAGGTGTCTGTCTCCATGGGGGTTGACTCCCTGTGAGATGGGGGGAAAGGCCTGCCTGGAGACACGGCGCACAGCCTGGAGGGCCCTGCTACATAGTTTCTTACTGATGTCTGAGGAGAGGCAGTAGTGGCATCACCAGCTTTGTTCATGCCCTCCCATGCATCTCTCCTTTGGGTACCTCACTGCTTCCTCTCAGCACAGGAACTGGGCAACAGGATATTGGTGTCATTGTGTATGTTTTTTCCTTGTTCCACTTATTTCAGATTGCATAATAGAATACAAGTCTTCCCATGTTTCTCTAAGTTTTTCATATTTTAAAAATAACACAATAATATTTCATATTATAATCATACCATAGATTGTTCGGTTATTCCCCAATTGATTGGTGCCTACCTTTGGTTCTAGTTTTTTAACACCGTAAAAAGTGAAACTAACAATTTACATCAGATGTAGACTTGGCATTATCTGTAGAACCTCTTCTCGGAGGCTTTGTCCTAAATTTCCTTCACTCGTCAAAGAGCTTCTACATCACTGCCATTGTGGCTCTATGGCTTCTAGACCAAGTTCCTACAGTAATTGGCTTGACCTAGGAGGAACACCTTACCACTCTGTCACTGCCATTTCGAAGTCATATGGTTCCTTGCTCTCCTGAGCAGTCATGTGGTTCTGGGAAATTGGGGTGGTGCGGGTATTACAATTTGTACTGGTAGAAAGGGTACTGAATTACTGAAATATTATCTAGTACTTCATTAAGTGCTCTTAAAGCATTCAAGATATGGATACAACTGTTAGTGCTGATTTCTCTTTTCCATTTTAGTCTGACACCTAATTAGTTTTCATTTCACAGCAAAAGCAGGCTTGGCAATGCAAAAGGGAAAATAAACATTTTAAAGATGAGTAAAAAGACCAGCTGAATAAACTTTTAATTTCTGTCTCTCTACTTTTTATCTTGGCTCTCCATTATGAATACAGAGGGTAACGTTCCAAAGGCTTCAAAAAAGGCAGCGGGAATGATAGTGGAGTGGTTAGAAAATGAACACACAGTTGGGAGAAAAAAAAGCAGAAAAACTCGCTTCTTTCAGTATACACTTGATCCTAAAGTGAAACGATCAAAACAAAAATGATATAATAAAAATGCCTGGTCATTTTAGTTTTTCAAATAAAGATTATTAACCACTCTCATAAAACAACAGTATTGGACTCTAACTATTTATATAACTTTAAAAGAATTACTTTTTTAGTGCTCTAAGATTGAAATTTCTAGTTTTAGTTCCTGTTTCTTGAGTAAAATAATCTTAAGCAAATAAAAGATTGAGTAAAAATGTAATAAAAACCCCTTTATATTTGCTTAAACCAATGATAAATTGTTACCTTTCCGCATACAGGGCATCCTGAGGGTTCCTTCTTATATCGGACCACACTCTCTCCGCTGGTTTCAAACTCTTCTCTCTTCACACGCCTGACTCCTTAAATTGCCAAACACCACCCCCCCAACCAAAAGAGAAAAAAAGAATCAGTTTTTACATTCGGTACAATGGAAGCTCCCACTGCAAGTGTTGATGTCCCATATGATTTGCGGTGACATATTAGGATGCTGTACACACAGTAAACTTTATACTACTCCTCCACTGGCTTCTATTCTGATCATTATCTGACAGCAAAAAATCCCACTGCTATTGGAAAACAAACACTATGTCTATGATAGTGTGCCTCTTTTTTCAAACATGTGATTTATATCACTCAACCAGTACTTATTAAGCATCTATTTATATGTAATACTGGGCTAGGTACTGGGTATACACATACCAAAGTAATACAGTCCTTGCCCTCCAGAAGCTTACATTTCTCCTGAGAAGATATAGTATGCTTACATACGATGCAAAATGCATTCAAGGGCAAGACCAGGAAAACAATAGACACAATAACTATTATAGTGTAAATATAAAGAACAACCAAACAATTGAACCTGAATGCTGCAAAATTATAACAATCAAGGTTGGCCTCCAAAAAGAGATGAGGAAGATAATTTCCCTAATGGATGGGATGATGGGTGCACGATACTGTATGTGGTATCAAACTTTTTTGGCATCTTGGAAAAATTTTTTTTCCCCTTTTCCTCTTTTTTTTTTTTTATAAGGGATGGCTATTTGGGAGAAATCAGAGGAATACAATGGGAAATACAGGTGATATAAAAACAAAATATTTTTTTAAAAAGTCAAAATAAATACAAAGGGCTTTTGTTGGGGGCAGGGTTGAGTCATTAACAACTGGAGGAACCAAGATAAGCCTCTAGAGCCAAGTCTTGAAGGGAGCTGAAATCCTAACAGCTCAAGAGGGAGAGCATTCTAGTCCTGGGAGGTGGGAAGAGAAGGGGAAAATGCAGCCTGTGCAAAGGCACAGAGGCAAGAGGTGAACTATCATGTATGGGGAACTGCAAATGGCTACAATGCTGAGTATATGAGCGTGAGGGAACACGTAATCAATCCGGAAAGGCGGGCTGGAGCCAGATGGGGAAGGGCTTTAAAAATCAAACATGAGATTTTGTATTTTATCCCAGAAGCAAAAGGAAGCTATAGAAGATATCTGAGCAGGAGAGCCACAGGGTCAGACCTGTACTTTAGTAACATCAATTTGGCAACTATAAGAAAAATGGATTAGAGAAGGGAGAGACCAATTGGGAAGTTATGAAAATAGTTCAAGTGAAACGTGATTAGGGCCTAACCAGACTGGTTGTGGTATGAGTACAGCAAAGGGGACAGAAAGTAGAGACGTTAAAGAGGTAGAGTTGATGAGACTTGGTAACTGATTAGATTTGTAGGGCAAGGGAGAGTCAAGCATCAGGCATAATTCCCAGGCTGTGGACACAGGTAACCAGAATAGGGACCATAGGAATAACAAGAGGGTCTAAGGGGAAATATACTGAGTTCTATTTTGGACACATTTGAGATGCCTACAGGACATCCAGGTAGAGATGTCTAGCACAGAGTTGGAGACAAAGGACTGGACCTCAGGAAAGAAATGAGAGCTGTATATGTAGATGTGCGATTCATATGTATAGATAGGATAGTGGAGCTCATGGGAGCTGTTAAGAGAGCACAGAGAGAGAGAAGACACAAGTTGGAGCCCTGTGGTACACACCCAACATAGCAAGTGAGACATAGACGATGATCCTGCAAAAGAAGCTGAGAAGGATAAGTCAGACAAAAAGTAGCAGAACCAAGTAGTAGAGCCACAACAGCAAAGCCATTAACATTCAGGACTAAGAGAGAATCCAGAAGGAAGGGTCAACAGCATCAAATACTAGAGAAGTGAAGAGGAATAAGCAATGAGAAAATGCCACCAGATATAGGAATAAAGAGATCACTGATGACCTTGCAGAAAGCAATTCCAGCTGGATGACAGGAACAGAAACCAGACTGTCAGTCAGTTCATCAGTCAACAGGAACTTGTTAAGAGCTAACAGTTCTAAGTTCTGAGGATACAAAGAAAGGCAAAAGCAGTCCCTATAACCAGGAAGCACACATTTCAAAGGGAGATACATGTTATTAACTAGATATATAAGATATATACAGAATAGATGTAAGGTAATCCTTGTTCACCTTTAAAAAAAAAAAGTCAAATCCTAGCAAGTGTCCATTGTCTAATTTGGGATGTATAGCTTCATGATAAAAAGTTTTCAAAATGGCATTTTAATAAAATCTTATTAATACAATAAAAAAATTTCATATCCAAAAACTTTTTCTACCATTGTTACTACATAGTCTTTACTTCATATGCACACCCATTACATCAACATATGACTAAGCACTCTATTTCATTTTTAAAATAGCATTAATACTCTTGCTTCCACTGGAATGTCCCTCTTGTACTTGGCATCTTACATATTCACAGGTAATATTTCTCCTCCAAGCTTCTTGCGGAAACTGAAATTCAACACTATTACTAAGTACAGAGGTCTGGCTAAGTGATTTTCAGTTTATTTTGATACATAATATGACATGGCAAAAAGAAATAATAGCAGAAGCATTCAATCCAAATGTACTCACCTTCCAAGTGTCTCCTTTGGTGATCCAGCATGACATCCTTCCGGTAGAACATTTTATTGCATACCTCACAAGAAAACTTCTTATCACCATGCTTCTTCTTATGTTTGGAGAGGTTACTATTGGTAGAAAAGAATCTGAAACACATCTCACACTGGAATGTCTTCTCGTCTGCCAGAAGAAGAAAAAATGTTTTCAAAGAGTTATTCTTTCCAGCAAAAATATATAACATACCCACAGCAACCATCTTCATTCATAATGATAACAAATATCAGGAAAGAAAGGCAAGGGAAAATCATCATGAAAGGAACATAGGATGAGTATTTCCAGAAGCCAAAATCTACATTCAAAAATTTCATTTGTACCAATAAATTTAGTAACTAAAAAAACCCCAAAGCAGTCTTATCTAAAAATATCTACCCTATTCCAATTAAATAACTAAAAAAGAATGACAACCATAACATTTGGAAAGTTCCACCTTTGAAAGTGACTCTCCAAAGCAAAAAAATTATCATTTTCTCTAAAGAAAGTTGCTCTTTTGTAGCTTTTAATATAAGACTAGAGAAAAATTGTCAGAAGTATTCATTTTTCTGTTTAACATGGGCCAGGTGGTTGGGCATGAGGGATAGGAGAAACTAAGTGATTGTATTCAAAAGATGTGCATATTCGTTTTTATATATAACCAAATTATCCTTTTGAATGAAAACTAATGACATCTTTTTACCAATTATATCAATGTAAATTTTTTTTTACTGTGGTTTGTTTTCTCTAACTCCTTAGTTCTAGTCAATGTATATATCATTTTACTCTTAATGTGAGTTTATTTGTGACTTCCACCAACAAGTATAGTTATTCAAATAAATGAAGCATTTTTTATGGAAGATGGGAAGTGACAGCCTGTGGTTTTATCTTCCTAGACCAGGGCTGGGGAACCTGTAGCCTTAAGGCCACCCTCGGTCTAGGGAGCTCCCTCATGAGGAAACTCCATCCCATCTTCTCCAGCAGACTGCCCCCTGTCATCCCTACTCTTTCATTTATTTCAGTCTCTGCTTGTCTATTGATTCATTTCCTACTGCCTACAAACATACATCATGTTTTCCCTATTCTGAAAAAAACATTTACTTGATCCATTTCCACTAACTAGCATCCTTTATCTCTTTTGCCCTTTGTAGATAAACACCTTGAAAAGGTTATCTACAATAAGGCTTCCACTTTTTCTTTTCTCACTCTCTTCTTAACCCCTTACAGTCTGACTTCTAACCTTATTATTCCACTGATGGTGCTCTCTCCAAAGTTACTAATGATTTCTTAGGGGCCTAATCCAATGGCTTTTTCTCAGTTCTCATGCTTGCTGACCTCTCTGCAGCTTAGGATACCTTTGATCACTCTGTCCTCCTTAACAATCTCTTCTCTCTAGGTTTTTGGGACACTATTCTTTCCTGGTTTTCCTCCTACCTGTCTGACTGCTCCTTATCTATCTCCTTTGCTGGCTCCTCTTCCAGATCATGCTTTTTAACTGTAGTCATCCCTCAGGGTTCTGTTCTGGGCCCTCTTCTCCTCTCCTTCTATACTACATGATTTGGTGATCTCAGCAGTTCCCATGGATTTAATCACCATCTCTATGCTTCTGATTCTCAAATCTACCTTTCTTGCCCCAAGCTCTCTGCTGACCTCCAATCTTCCATCTCCAACTGCTTTTTAGACATCTTAACCTATATGTCTAGTAGACATCTTAATCTGTGTCCAAAACGGAACTCACTATCTTTCCCCCTAAACACTACCTTCTCTGTCTCTGTAAAGGGCAACCCCATCGTCCCAGACCCCCAGGCTCACAACCTAAGAGTAACACTGGATTCCTCTTTATCTTTCACCCCCCACCCTCCATATCCAAGCTGTTGCCAAGGCCTGTTGATTTCACCTTTACAACATCTCTTGAATACATCCTTTCTCTCCTGACACAACCACCACTCTAGTTCAGGCCCTCATCACCTCACACCTGGATTATTAGCCTGCTGATGGATCTATCTGCCTCAAATTGCTCCCTACTACAATTCATCCTCCATTAGGCCACTAAAGTGATTTTCTTGAAATGCAGGTCTGATTATGTCTTCCCCCTAGTCAATAAACTCCAGTGGCTTCCTATTACCTCCAGGATCAAATACAAAATGCTCTGTTTGGCATTCAAAATCCTTCAGAACCTATCCCCTCCACCTTTGTATTCTTCTTACATCTTACTCTCCAACATGTACTCTTTGATCCAAGGACATTGCCTTTCTCACTGTTCCACAGAGAAGACATTCCATTTTAGCCCTGAGCGTTCTCTCTGGCAGTCCCCCACACCTGGAATGTTCTCCCTCTTCTGCTGCAACTACTGACTTCCCAGGTTGTCTTTAAAATCCCACCTTCTACAAGAAGCCTTTCATAATCCCTCTCACTTTCAGTGCCTTCCATGTTATTTCTTATTTATCCTGCATTCGGCTTGCTTTGTAAATATTTGTTTACATGTTACCTTCCCTACTTTAGAATGTAAGTTCCTCGAGGACAGGTATTGTTTTGCTGTATCCCCAGCACTTAGCACCTATCATGTCATAGGTGCTTAATATAAGTTTACTGACTGATTGAGTGATAGGAAACTCCTTCTACCAGTACAGACCACTAACTGTTCTTCAACTTTAGAACCTTGCCTGGGCATTGAGACATTAAGTGAGTTGCTCAGCCAATGTGTGTCAGATGCTGGACTTAAACCAGGCTGTACTGACTCCAAGGTCAGATTTCGCCCTAATTCACCACTCACTCTATTTCACTGTCACATACAACAGCACAAGAAAACAAAATATAAAAATTGAGCATGCAAACTAAAACCAACAGAAATCCCAAAAGGAGCATAAATGAATGTACCTGTCATTGCAACTCCTGTTATTTAGCAATGATTAACTCTTCTCCTAACCGCATTTCAGCTCCACATCTTTCTATCATACCATACTGCCGCTGCTGCTGCTGTGACTCCTGCCCTCAGATCCTGCTGCCCTGATCAGTAAGAAAAGGAGAGCTCTCTCCATCTTCCCTGGGCCCCTATCCATCAGCCATGCATTACAATGCAGCCTTGCTGCACTGCTGGCTGCTGAAGTAGGAACTCCCACTTCAGAGCTGTGCAGTCCTGAGTGACAGCCGTTCATGATTATCTAGCTGACTCCAAAACCATGACTCACCCAGCCATCTTCTTGCAAGATGCAACATCTATCAAATGCCTCTACCTTTTTTACCTCTAGCTCTGGAAAGAGTAATCAAATGAACACTTCCACTGCTTTGGGAAAGGGCATGGTGTCAACAGACTGCCTGACAGTTCTGCTCATCATCACTGTGACTTCCCAGACCAAAATATACTTCCCTAGTCACTTTTACATATTATCCTCCACCCACCTTACCCATAAGAATGCAAGCTCCTTCAGGGCAGTAACTCTTTTTGTATTTATATTTCTAGCACTTAGCACTATACTTGGCAAATGCTTTCAGTTATCTGAAAATGTGTACACACACACACACCCCCCAACACAGTAATACCCCAACCTTTTTTCCTGATTGTAATCTGCTTTGTTTATTGTGAGAATAATATTAATTTATTGATGTTATAGTTGAATTCTTTCAATTTTTATTTTATCCTCTGGTTCGAGAATATCAGGGCAGTTTTCCCTGATAATTTCTTGAAAGATGATGTCTAGGCTCTTTTTTTTATTGCTGTTATAGTTGCAGATATGATTACTAAGTCACTGCAGGTGATTCCTGAGACTGTAGAGAATGAAAGGGATCCTAGAGAACTAAAGAAGAAATGCTTTCCTCATTAAAAAAAAAAAGTGAAGACCATGGAGTTTGAAAACTATAGGTTAGCTCTTCTGGCCAAGATGGTTGTTTCAAGAGACCCAAGTGCTACATAGCTATTTTAACAAAAACCTGAAATGTGGATTAGACCAAATGGTGATCAAGAAATACGAGAAACTATACCAAGTTCTTTTTCCATGTTAGAATTGCAAAGAAAGTCATCCAAAAGCCCAAAGGCAATAAGAAAGGGGTCTAGCTAGCAAAGCCAGCACCACTGCAGGCTGGTAGGTTCTTATGTGACCAAAAAAAGGCCAGAAACACATAGAGAGCCTGCAAGGGTCTGAAGGCAGTAGGAGCTAAGTGCTCCCTCAAGAAATCCACAGGGCCCTGGAGTCAACCGGTCAGTGTCACTCGACTGCATACTATGTGCTGGGGTGCAAGAAGTGAGAAGACCGGAAAGGGGCCAGCTTATAGAGGACTTTAAAAGTCAAGCATGATTTTTGATTTGATCCTGGAGGCAAAGGGGAGCCAATGGAATAGAATTAATAGCAGGGGTGACCTGATCAAACTTGTGCTATAGTTTGGTAGCTGACTGAAGGATGGAAAACAGCGTGGAGAGACATGGCAGAGACCAACCAGCATGATTACTGCAGTAGGCCTGCAACAATATAGGATAAGCACCTGAAAGCAGGGTGACGGTGGTGTCAGAAGAGATAGAAGAGATGTGTTAAGAAAGCAAAATGGACAGATTTTGGTAACAAGTGTGGGGGGAGGCAGTAAGAGAGTAAGGAGTTGAGGATGACACATAAGAGATTGTGAGCCTGGATGACTGGGGAGGATGATGGTACCTTTGACAGTAATAGGGAAGTTTGGATGAGGGGAAAGTTTAGGGGGGAAAGATAAGTTCCATTTTGGACATACCGAACTTAAGATGTTAATAAAATATGTAGTTTGAAATGTCCAGGGGCAGCTAGATGGCGCAGTGGATAAAGCACTGGCCCTGAGGTCAGGAGGATCTGAGTTCAAATGCAACCTCAGACCAAACATGACAGCTGTGTAACCCTAGGCAAGTCACTTAACCCCAACTGCCTAAAAAGAAAAATGTCCAATAGGCAGTTGGAAATGAAAGACTAGAGATCAGGAGAAAGATTAGAGGTGGACAAATAAATACGAAAATCATTTGCACGGAGATGACACCTGACACAGGAGGAGCTGACAACATCACCGTGTGAAGTAGCACAAATGAAAAAGAGAAGAGGGCCTAGCACAAAGCCTTAAGGGACACCCTCTGGTGTCACAGGTGTAACCTGGATAAAGAGACAACAAAAAGGGACTGAGAAGGAACAGTAAGACAAATAGGAGGAGAACCAGGAGAGGGCAGTATCAGGAAAACAGAGAGAGAAGAGAGTATCAAGGAGTAGACAGTGATCGATAGCCTCAGAGGCTGCAGAAAGGTCAGAAAGGATGAAGACTGAGAAAGGTCACTAGGTTTGGGGACTAAGAGATCACTGGCAACTTCGGAGAGAGCAGCTTCAGTTGGCTGATAAGTTTGGAAGTCAAACCGTGAGAGTTAAGAGGGGAATGAAAGGAAAAGAAGTAGAATCATCGATTGCAAATAGCCTTCTCTAGGAGTTTTAGCTAGAAAAAGGAGAAAAAACATCAGGCTGTAGCTAGCAAGGATGGATGGCTCAAGTGAGAGTATTTTAAGGATGGAAGAGATATGAGCATGTTTATAGGCAGTAAAGAAGCCAGTAGACCAGAAAAGAATGAAAGTAAGTGATTTCTTTTTTGGCTGATGTATAGAAATGCTGATGATTTTTGTGGGCATATCTTCTATCCTGTAGAAGTTGTTTATATGATTTAATGGTTTTGTTGGGTTTTTTTGGGCTTTCTAAATAAAACACAATATTCTCCAGAAATTGAGGTATTTCAGTCTCATTTTTACTGCTATTTTTTTCCCTATGTTTTTTTTCCCTAAAGCCTGTACACAGATAGTTCTATAGCATTTTTTTTACAGAACTAGTCCTACAACTTCTAGGACTAAGTCAAATAATAATGATAACATAATAAGCAGCATTGATGTCTACCTCTCTTCCCTCAACCTTGCCCCAGAGACATAAATTTGCCAACTAAGAACTGCTTGAATTGAATTCCATAATTTTTTAATGTACTGAATTATTATCTTTGATGTAAATCATTCTTAAGCAAATAATTTCTAGTCTGCATTTAGGCCTGCATATTTTGATTATATTTTTGTTACTAATTATTATTCTAATTGTGCTATGGTCTACAAAAGTGATCTTTAAAATTTCTGCTTTTCTGCATATTCTTTATGCACTATCACGATCATTTTTTGTAAACGTTCCACATAGAGCTGATTAAAAAGTAAATTCGCTAGTAAATGTAATCAGTTTCCTCCATGTGTTTATCAGATATGATTTTTCCCATGTTCTGTTCACTTTGAAACTTTCTCTTTTTTTTAAATATCTTAATAATTTCTAAAATGGAGTATTGAAATCTACCAATATTTTTTCTCTACACACTTCTTATAATTTAGTTAACTTTTACTTCTATAATATTAAGTGTATATATATATATATATATATATATTCATATACAACTCTATGCATTATAAATACAATGCAGTTTCAGGATATAGAAGATAAGTGAACACAGTGGTGGGGGAGGTGACCAGGAAAGGTATTATGTAGAAAGTAATATTTAAGATGAGTTTTGAAGGAAATAAGGAATTTGAAGAAGTAGAAGTAAGGAGGAAGAGGATTTCAGGCATGGGGGATGATACTCACTGAAAAGGCATGGAGGGGGGAGTGAGGGGGAGAAAAATTTAAAACTCAAAAGCATATGGAAGTGATCTTTGAAAACTAAAAATACATTAATTTAAAAAAAAGAGGCAGGTTAAGAAAAAAAAAGAGAGCAAACTTAGAAAATGAAGTGGCTACTAAGTAAGTTTTCAGATTTCTAAAGAAATCAATTTCAAACATGATTCCGGAGTATGATAAACTGCTGACAACGATTGTAATATGTCCCATTAACTAAATGTAAACAGTAAGAAATACTGAGAAATGTATTAAAACTTGTACCACTTAGCTAAGTAATTTTAAACATTAATATGATTTCATGATAAATTAAAAAAAAAGGCATGGAGATGGAAGATTGAGTGTCATATGAAACAAGCAATAAGAAAGCCAGTTTATGGAGACCAATGAGTAAAGGAAGGACTAATGAGGCAGGAATGGTAGATTGGGGCATACTGTGAAGGGCTTTACAAGCTATACTAGAGTATTTTTGATCCTGGAGGCAAGTGGTTTCAAACTAAAATAGAAATGAGGGCCATTACATCATACATAAGGATCTTTGCAGGCCATATGTTAACTTAGTTTTAATAGACAACGTTATCTATGTTTTATTTCCTTTTAAAAAAATGTTTCCTCATTACATTTCAATCTGGATGGGCAGCACTTTGGAGTGTTGTGGGCCACATGCAAAGCTATGTATATTTAATGCCTTTGCTGGAAGCAACAGGGAGCTTAATGAGTAGGAAAGCAAAATAATCAGACCTACAATTAAGGAAAAACACTTTGGCAGGTATGCAGAGAATAGATTAGATTGATGTGGGATAGTCAAGCAGACCAGTTTTAAAAAAAAAAACCAAAACCATTGTGATAGAGGTGATGAGGGCCTGAACTAGGTTAATGACTGTGTGAATAGTGAGAAGAGAATGGACAGCAAAAGATGTTTCAGAGACAAAAACTATAATATTTGGCAACTGTTTTCAGGGCTGGGGAACCTGCAGCCTTGAGACTACATGTGGCCTTCTAGGTCCGTGGGTGCATCCTTTTGACTGAGTCCAAGTGATACAGAACAAATCCTTTTATTAAGGGGATTTGTTCTCTGAAGTTCGTATTCAGTGAAAGGGCTGTACTTGAGGACCTAGAGGGAGGACCTGAGTTCAAATCCGGCCTCAGACACTTGAGAGTAGCTGTGTGACCATACACAAGTCACTTAATGCCAACTGCCTCACCAAAAACAAAAACACTAGAAGAATGATGGTGTCCTGAACAGAAATAGGTTAGTTCAGAAGGTGGATGGGTTTGGGGTGAAAGATAACGTGTTCTGTTTTGGACATGTTAAGTTTGAGATTCTATGGAATATCAGTTTGAAATTTCTAGTAGGCAGTTAATGAGGTAGAACTAAAACTCAAGAGATGGACTGGGATTTGATCGTCTGAGAACGATAAGCATAGTGGTGATGAAAGCTGTATGAGGGGATGAAATTACCAAGAAAGAATATAGAGAGAAGAGGGTCAAAAACCAAACCTTTGGGTACACCTATAGTTAGTGAGTGTGATATAGATGACAACCAGCAAAGGATACTGGAGACTTGAAATGAATAGCTTGACACACTGGAGAACTGGTAGAGAGTAGAGTTACAAAAACACAAATGAGAGAGAATATTCAGGAATAGAGAAGGGTCGCCAGGGTCAAATCATGCAGAGAGATCAAGACGGATAAGGAATGAAAAAAGATCATCTGATTTGGCATTTGGTAACTTTGGAGACAGCAGCTTTAGTTGACTGATGAAGTCAGAAGCCTGGTTGTAAAGGCCTAAATAATGAGAGAGGAGTGGAAGCAAGGAGTATAGACAGATTTTTTCCCTAGGACTTAAGCTGAGAAAGGGAGAAGAGAAATAGGATAATAGTTTAAGGAAACAGCAGGTCTAGCAAATTTTTTTTAAAAGATGGGGTTAACATGAACATGTTTGTAAGAAGCAGGAAATCAACCAGTAGGAGGGAGAATTTGAAGATTAGAGAGAAAGAATGAACAAAGAATTATTAACTGAAACAAATGAAATTTAATTTAAAAAAATTATGACTATGGGATCTCCATACTTAACATATCAGCTAAAGTGATGTACTTGGAGTCTGGAAAACTCTGAACTCTACCCCTGGCTTAGTCACTTTCTGGCTGTGTGACTATGGGCAAATCACTTGAGTGAGTCCCAGTTTCCTAGGCTGCAGAATGGGGATAAAGATCTCTTTAAAAGTTATCAGAGGCTTAAATGTATACAAAGTGTTTAATACACTTTAAAGTACTATTTAAATGCCATTTATTTCTTCTTATATCAAAGCAAATCTTGAGGTTGTCTTAGTTCCATTTTGCACATGAGGAAAGAAATTCAAGCTCATAATGGTTAAATGACTTTTTTGAGGGTCACATAGTTGTGTTAGTCTGTGTGTTTTTAACTAGGGCTGTAATTTAATTATATGAGGAATTCCCAATGTGGGACTTTTCTACCAGTAAAGATTAGCAAGCACTCCTCAATTTATATTCTTAGAAACCACTTAAGGAACTGAGAGGTTTTGCATGATTTGCCCAGGGTCATATGGCTGATATGTGTCAAGGGCAAGGCTTGTCTAAAAGTCCAATTATATCTATAATTAGATCCGTTTTAATTAGGTCCAACATACCTAAGAAATACAGAAATTTCCAGTTGGAGTTGGAATACTACAATATGTCTTTGCTCCATGCTACATATTATGAAAAGTTAAGAAATTTATCTAGGAGACTGAGATAAACATGCTCCAGTGACCTGGAAATTTTAATCAAGCGTAAGCTTGGAAAAATAGACTGTCCAAAGATACAATAAAAGTGTGGTTTCATAATGAAAAATTAAACAATATATGTCAGGATATTGTGAATCCATGTGAAATCATGTAAAATAAGTGATTATGGTAAAAAGATATATTACTTATTTTTTAAAAATTATAGATGTGAAAAGTTGTAAGGTTTATTATATGTTTATTTCAATTTTTGCCAGTTAAATTTGTACACCACTGAATAAAGTTGTTCTTACCTGTTCTACAATTGTGAAATTCCAGTGCACTCTCTATTCGAAAGGACTTCTCACAAGTTCCACACCTATATCTGTATTCACTATCAATCTATTTTCAAATAGAAAACACATTCAGTAAAACAAAGAAAAACCAAAATAAAAATGAAGAATTAGCATTTGTTCACACTTTTCAAAAGCAAATCTTTAATGGGGCATGTAAGTATCCATTTCACTCAATATAGCTATTCAACTAATTTGGCCTTAACTTACTTTTCCAACCATATCATCCAATACTTCCCTTAATATAGCTTATATTTCAGCTAAAGTGTACTAATCATCACTTCTTTAAGATACTTTCCAGTATGTGTATTTTTTATTACACTGTTACCTCTACCTGATATACCTTTTCCTCTCAACTCCTTAATCACTCCTCCATGAAGCTTAATATCATTTCTTCAATAAAGAGTTCCCATAGCACTAAGCTCCCATATTATATGACAGCACTAAGATTTCATATTTTATTTTTAATTATAATTACTTACATACTGATTGCTATTAATAAAAGACAGGGATCACTTCTAATTAATTTTATATCCTCTAGGGTAGAAGTGTCAAACTCACAACCCAGTTTCTATTTGAGTTTGAAACCACTGCTATAGAGTACCTAATACAGTGTCAGGCACATAATACACATTCAAATATTTGTTTAATTGCAATTAATACATCTTTGAAACAAATATCAACTGCTTTTGTGTTCTAATGTTTCCTTTTTAAATGACATTACTTCTTCCATCCCCCCCCCTTTTTTTGCTTTTTGGTGAGGCAATCAGGGTTAAGTGACTTGCCCAGGGTCACACAGCTAGTAAGTGTCAAGTGTCTGGTCTGAGGCTGCATCTGAACTGAGGTCCTCCTGACTCCAGGGCCAGTCCTCTATCCACTGCACCACCTAGCTGCCTCTCTCTTCTATTTTCTTCTCAAATGCAATCTTACTTGGAAACAAAGAAATTTTCACTCCTGCCCATGAAATAACCCTACAAAGGACATAGTACTTTTAAGCAAATAAGGTCTCAATTAATTCAATAATATTAAGCTATTTCCATCTTATCTTCCAGCCTTCCTATTCTACCCAGTTGCTTCATCCTTTAATGTTACCTAGTAACTTTAATGCCTTAGTAGCACTAAGTTCTCATGTAAATCTTTTTTTTTCCCCCAGTAATAATGTCAGAGCCATTTACCTTTTCAATTGTTTTCCACTCACCTCATTTCTGCTGTGCTTATATGAAACATGCTGCTTTAGGCTTTCTTTTCGGCTAAATAATTTTGCACATTCTTCACATTTAAATAGCTTGTCACCTGAGGATGCAACCAACATTTAAAAAAAAAAAAGATTTGCCAGTTTAAACATGGAAATAAATAATTCAACCAGCATACAGGTCATTGGAAAAAGGATTTGGAAACCCTTCTAAATATTGGGGCATCGTCTTCTCTCTCTCCCCACCCACACTCTGGACCTTCGACGTGTCTTAACATTTAGAGAAATGTGCTCTCCAACTACATGTAGCAGCCACAAAAAGGTCACGTAGAACAATTCATCAAAAAGAAGCACAAGAAAGAGCAGCACATTAATATCACTTGGATTCTTTTCTTCAATAGGCTGAATTGTGTGAAGATTGGCAATTTGGCATAGAGTCAAACATAAACTTACCATGAGAACGGATATGTCTACTGAGGTTGCTGCTGTTCTGAAAAATTTTACTACAAATATTGCACTGATAGACCCGCTTATGCTCCCCAAGCTGCTTGATAAGCTTTCTTCGTATACCATGCCTGCTAGAAAGAATTAAACTCCTCTTGAGGGAGATAGTATTCTGATGATGGGTGAACCTGTCAGATTAGAAAACAAAAATGCTACATAAGAGATCTGGGAAGCTAGGCAAATTATGCAGGTCAATGAATAAACCAAAATTTAAAAGCAAAGTTGAGACAGTCATACAGACAAGAATTAACATGGATTCTGGATTAACAAAGAAGACTCCACTTCCATACCAGGTAAGCACAGATTCACGGCTAGAAAACAAAAAAGTTGGGTGGAAAAGAGAAGATTAATAAAGGATAACCACAAATTATGTTTTCTCATTATTCTTTATATATTACAACAAGTATCACAATTTTAATATTCCTTGTTCCTTTGCTCAAAATTAGGAAAGAGATGAAAGCTCTTTTTTCTTTGAAACACACACACACACAGACAGAGCAAAACCTTAAGTGTAATGTAAGTTTAATGCATTATCAACGATACACCCAGAAAATCTACTGTTGATTATTGAGTCACCATACAAACACACAATATTGCTGTTATGGCAGATAGGTGGCATAGAGTGCTGGGTCAGGAGTCAGGAAGACCTGAGTTCCAATTAGGCCTCAGACCCTGGGCAAGTTGCTTAATCTCTGTTTGTCTCAGTTTCCTCATGTGTAAAATGGAGATAATAATAGCACCTCTCTCTCAAGGTTGTTATAGGATCAAATGACATAATAATTGTAAAGCACTCAGCACAGTTCCTGGAACTGCTATATAAATGTGAACTATTATTATTACTATTATTACTGGTAGAATATAAGCTCCCAGAGATCTAGGACGGCTTCATTTTTGGCTTGGTATCATCACTCCCCAGCACAGTGCCTGGCATATTGTAGGCACTTAATAAATGAAGAATAATTGACTGGCCCCTTAAACTTAAGTTCCAATTTGTTTTAAATGTTTGTGCTATTCCTCACTTATTCAAAAGCTTAACAAACATTTATTAAGGGTCCTTTGAGGTGAAAAGATATTAGAAGAGATACAAGGATGAATAAGACATGGTACAATCTGGTAGGAAAGATAAGACACATATATAAATACCTATGCTACAAAAGAGAATCTGAGGTGGTATGAATAAATGCTGTTACTGATACAAGGAAAGTTTCTTGGAACAAGTAGTATTTAAATTGGATCTTGAAGAACGGGTAGGATTTCAATAATTAGAAATCAGAATAGGTTGGGAGCTTTGAGTATTCTTGTCTTAGAAAAGAGCATGGAAAAAGGGCAGAGTTTGCCTGAAGACGAAGACGGAAGAAATCCATATAGATTGGTCCCAGTGGCCCAACAGTCCACTATGCCTCTAGGACACCTCCCTCTCCTATACAAATGGCCAAACAAAACAGAATACCTTCTAATTCCAAGCCTCCTAGAATCATGACCAGGCACAAAAGTTCCCACAGCCAAAATTCACAGGCTTCTCTTAGTTTACACCAAGAAGTGCCAATGAGGTCTATAAAAACCCACCCACCTACCTAGTCTAAAGAGAGGTTCCCTAGATCTTTGTGCAGGGCTTCACCCATCACAATCTGCTGACCCTTGTAAGCAACCATCCGAGTCCTCCGGAATATCCTCCTCTTCTGTCTGCCCTGGGACAAATAATGCGTGGGACCTCCTCCCTTTTGCAGCATCCCTGAATTTGAGAGAAATACCTCAAAGTCTTTTCCTGAGTTTTTGGCATTCCTGAGGGAAGTACACTCAGTCCAGTGAAATGTTTCCACAACTATATTCAGAAAACCTGGGGGCTAGATGTACTTTACACACACCTTTCAGTGCTTAGGGACGGAAGAGTGGGATCAGAATATTCCTTCCCTAAAGCCAGAGTCACTATGGAACCCAAGGAAAGGCAAGATGTTCAAGGCCTCTTCCGGTACGTTTTTTAATTCTCTGTCGGTGTCCAAGAAGACCTACATCTCCCTATGTTCTCCCAATATAGCTATACTTGTGTCTCCATCATCCTGCACTTCCTCATCATGCTAGTAGAGGCCTCACTGAGCATGAGATAAGGGAGAGATTCCTTAAAACAGATAGAAGAAATCTTTGGATAGTGGTCACAGTGACCTTTCCTACCCCCAGTTTACTTCCTACTCCTAGTTTAATCTGCCCCTGGGGAGTAAACCATTAACCTAAGCCTACCCAAGACATGACTAGGCAAAAAAAAAAAAAATTACTGCCACCAAAATTCTCTAGCTTCCCTTAGTTCACAGCAAGAGTCTTTACTTAGGTCCCAACCCTGCTTTCTTACCTAAGATAAAGAGAGGCACCATGGGACCTTAATGCAATGCCTCACCCTGACCAGCCCAGCTGACTCCTTTGAGAGTGACCAGAGAGGTTCTCCAGAAAATCCTTCCCTGCTCTCTGTCTCCTATGTGCTTCTGACAGGTAGGCCCCCTGTTCACCCCATCTGCTTTCACTTTTGCTCATACTGTACAGTACTCAACAGAAAGCTATAATCACTGGAAAAAAAAAGCTTCTGATGCTTCTCTCACACTGGAACAAGTTCTGAGCCAAAGACAGAGTCAGAAAAGCTAAGGATTATGTTAACAGAAAAGGAGAGAGTACATAAACTTGATGATGTAAGGCATCCAAAAAACATGAGGTGGATTGAGATCAGACTGTGGAAAACCTTGATTGTCAGGCTTAGATTTTATACAACAGATAATGAGGAAACTTAAAAGTTTGTAATCAGCAGGATGACATGACCAGCCTTTTTTTGTTTTTAATCAGAATTATTAATGTAGCATGGTGTGTGGGAGAGATATTGGAAGGGGTGAAATTTTAGAATCTGTTTTTAAAAAGATGGCAGTTAAACTGATTAGGAGATTACTGCAATTGTCCAGTAGCAAAGATGAATAAGGAGGGGAGTAGAAAGAAAGGGACAGATTAAAGAGACAATGTGGAGGTGGAACCAAGAGAACTTGGAAACTGATTGGATATGAGGCAGAAGACAGGGAGAAGAGACAGATGACTTCAAGGTTTTAAGCACAGATAAATTGGAAGATTATGGTAACCAAAACAATAAAAATTAGGTAGAGGCGCAGGTTTTAAAGGGAAAGTAATTTTAGGCATGCTGAATATAAGATAGCAATGTTGCACCTAAGAGGAAACATTTAAGAAGAATTTAGGGTTGAATGTCTATACCATGAGTAATTATATATAGAAATACAGTTAAAGCCATGGAAATTTGACTCTATTTTCTTAGCAATGAGGAGCCACTCAAAGTTTTTAAGCAGGAGGTTGACATGATCTAATCTAAAATTAAAAAAATTAGTCTGGCACATAAGGTCAAATAGTACAATATATTATTAAAGGGATTGTTAGCAAATACTTAGGGAAGTGGCAATCATTAAAAGTAAGAAAAAAGTTTATTAAAAATAGATGATGCTATATTACATTTCCTTTTTAAACATTATTAAGGAGAAGTTGTAGAAAGAGTAAACTTGGATTTTAATAAGATATTTTACAAAGTGTCTCATTGTCTGCCTTGTGGTAGAATTGGAGAAACGTGGGCGAGATGACAATATAATTAGAGGAACTGTTTGAATTATCATACCCAAAAAACAGAATTAATGAAACAATGTCAACCTAGAGAGAGGTCTCTTGTAGAAAATTCTGGGCATTTCCCTTCATCCTATTCTCTTCAAATCAAGATATATGATTAAGATATTGAAGTACAGATGGAATGCTTATCAAATTTTCAAATGACATAAAGTTGGGAGTGATACATTGGCTGACCAAGATCTAAAAAAAGATTTAAAGCAGGATAGAATGATGTCCTGTATCTAATAATGTGAAATTGAATACAGATGAAGAAACAGAGACACTCACTCATTGCTGGGAGAATTGCAAACTGGTGATATCCAATCTGTCAGTCCTCTGCAAAAGTTACAAAAATATTCACACCCTTTAAAAGAGTTATCAGAAAGGAAAAAAAGAGTTATCTGTTCACAGAGATGTATAGCAGTATTATTTGGATTTATAAAAAAAGCTGGAATCAACCTAAATGTACAATAAAATGGGAACAGGCAAATAAATTATGGTATATTGATGTAACCGGATATTGTTATACAATTACAATTAGGAAGTATGGGGAACCTTATCCATCCCTTTTTACTATGTTCTCTGGCATTCTTGACACCCCCCATTCCCTGCCCCCCTTCCCACCTCTAATCACTGGCCTTTTTCTTTCACACTCTTTCCACCTATTGTCTGTCACTGAGATCTGGCTCTCCTCTGAAGATCACTAACTATCTTTTCCAGCACTGGCTATACCTTCTCTTACCACCCCTCAATGTAGTAATCATGGAGGGGCAGTTGAATACTCTCTACTTGTCACTGTCATTTCAGACTTTTACTTAATCTCCTTCAGTCAGCAAACTTTCCTCTGTTGAGGTATGGTAAAGTAAAAATTTTCTATTCAAATCATAGCAACTTAGCACACGAACCCCACCTGCCTCTGCCCCACCAGCTCATTCTACTTTTCTCTAGCAGTCTGGCACATTTTATCATTTTCCTCTCCTCTGCCAGCTCCTGCCTTTATATTGTTATTCAGCCATTTTTAGTTATGTTCGACTCTTTGTGACCCCATTGTGGGTTTTCTTGACAAAAATACTGGAGTATTTTTTGCCATTTCCTTCTCCAGCTCATTTTACAGGTGAGGAAACTGAGGCAAAGACGGTTAAGTCACTTGCCCAGTGTCACACAGCTATAAGTGTCTGAGACCAGATATGAACTCATGGAGATAAGTCTTCCTGATTCCAAGCCCAGTGCTCTATCTACTACTGCCTCACCTAGCTACTCAATTTCACCTCTACTCCCTACGAAATAAACTCCAGCGGCTTCTTTTTGCTTCTAAGATAAAATATAAACTCTTCTGTCATTTAAATTTCTGTACAACCTGATTTTCCAAATTATCTAATCTTACACATTGCTCCTTGTCACACATTCTTTTGTCCAGTCATTCTGGCATACTCTTGCCTCTCGTGTGTGATGTGCTATCTTCTCTCTCCCATTTGCACTGGCTGTTCCT